AACTTTGCTAGTCACTTTCAGAAAATAATTATTTTCAAGAACTTAATTCAGAGGTAAAGGTTTCTCTCCTTGCCTACCTCAGGCCTCTTACAGGCCTGCAGTGAAAAGTGAGGGGTTTTTTTGCTTTTTCTTTCTGTCTTTTCTCCTCTTTGTGCTTTTACTCCTCTTCATTTTCACTTTTATTTCCCTAAAGATTTTATTTATTTATTGTTAGCGAGCAGGGAAGGGAGAGAGAAAGAAAGGGAGAGAAAGAAACATCGATGTGCCTCTTGCATGCCCCAAACCAGGGACCTGACTGGGAATCGAACCAGCAACCTTTCAGCTTGCAGGATGATGCTCAATCCACTGAGCCACACAGTGAGGGCCACTCTTCACTTTCTGACTATATTTTCTGGCCTTTCCAGGATTGGGAGAGGCAAGAGTTGAATAAGAAGATAAGGTCTTTAATGGTAATAGCAGCTGCAACCAATGTTTATATAGCATTTAGCCCTTGGCTGGTGTGGTTCAGTGAATTGAGTGCCAGCTTGCGAACCAAAGGATCACCAGTTTGATTCTGGTCAGGGCACATGCCTGGGTTGCAGTCCAGGTCCCCAACTGGGAGTATGTGAGAGGCAGTGGATCCATGTTTCTCTCCCTCCCTCCCTCCCTTCATTTATAAATAAACAAACAAACACACAAAACCTTTACATTTATTTTGTGCTTGGTACTGTTACAAGCATTTTATATGTATTAAGCCAATTAACACTAAGAACTCTCTGAGATATGTTCTTTTGTCCCTATATTACTGCTGCAGACATTAATGTACAGTTAGTGACTTGCCTAAGGTCACAGGTATAAATGGTAGAGCGAGGGTGCAAATCCAACATTCTGGCTCCTGAGTCCTCTTTCTACTGCTCCACTGCATTGCTTTTACATACTGTTGGGAGATGGTAAGCATACCTCCCAGTTTTGGCCAGAGTTTAAATCAGACTTGTACCCTTTAGATGTTTTTCAAGTGTGACACATTTTCTGTAGACCTGAGACAGTTAACATGCAGCCCCTTACCCATGCAGAGGAGTAGGAGGGAGTGGGATAGGGTTTGGAACTCAAAACACTCTGATCATTCTCCTCAAAAATCATTTTTTGATCTTTAACTCTTTGAACCTTGCAAGTAGGTGTAATTCAATGTTGAAAAGTAGTTTTCCACTAACTCCTTGCGTGGGTGGTCTTGCACCTCACTTTATAATACAGTATCTGTTGTTTGGGGCCTCCATCCAAAGATTGAAAAAGTTTTACTTTAACACCTTTTTGCATATATTCTCCAGATATGCTATTTAATTTCTTGTCCTTATATCTTTGTTCATATTGTCCCTAGATTAAGACTGTATCAGTTGTTCTGAAGGTATGTTTTCTCCCTGAACCACATGATCCCAGTCAAAGCACTCTTGATATTCAGGATTTTAAAAAAGAAGCCAGTGTACTGGGGTGCAGGAAATAAGTAAACTTTATATAGCCCTCTGTTTTCTCCTCTTCATCTCCTTCATATGAAAATCAGTAAATGGAGTAAATGATGGCTTGCTTAAACCAATCCCAGCTGTCTAGTGTCTCATTTTGATTACTTGTGGTGCAAGTATATATTTGAACTGTTAACTCTCTGATTTATGGTCAAGATAATTATTTTAGTAACCTTACCTGGCTGTCTTGGCACAGGGCTTTATGCCTTTTATCCTTTCTATGGTGTTCTCAGACAGGGAAGAGGACCAGATTGATCACTTTGTCTTCCCATATTAGAATATTTAGCTGGAAAGCTTTAGTGTTTATTTTTTTTCTTTTCCCCTTCACATACACATTTACCTGCATAGAACATTCAAAGGGATGTTATGTAATGGATTGTTTGATGTTTGAACTGACTTTGCCCTCTGCATCCTCACATTTAGAATATCTGCATGCCCATTAACAAGTTGCCATTCCGGTACACACATTGTACAGGGTGGAGCATTCACTGACATCATGCATGATCCCATGATAATCCGAAACTCCCTTATGCCTCATCACCTGGCAGAATTCGACTTTCATTAGTCCTGTCCTCTGTGATGCCTCTTCAGCCTTGCACACTGCGAATTAAGTGTTCACTTTTTGCTTTCACATGCCTTTTGCTGCAGCATGCCTTTTGTAGTCTCAGGTACTATGTCTTCTTCATAAGGACTGCAGGCTCATTGAGGTCAATGCCTTTGTTTTTTGTTTTTGTTTTTTTTTTAAATGTTTCCTCCCTTCACCTAAGAAAATGCTTTGAATCTAGTAAGTCAGTTATTGAATTAAGTTTTTATAATGTAAACAAAATCAGTTAGTGTTAGATTTGACTGTTAGAATACCTGGCTGAGCCTTACTAATATATGTGTCCAAAACAGGGAGATAAAAATAGTAAAGTATACTCAGTTATAAGCCTACCATACCTAGCCTGTTGCGTACAGTTCTGGGAATTAGTCATAATGAAATGTTGAGAGGTAGAGATTGTTCAGAGCTGAGCAATCTGAATAGCAAGGATATTAATCAAATTTTTAGGGAGCACTTAAAGGGACAAGGGATATCTAGTTTAAAGAAAAAACCCCTTAGGAAAGAGTGGGATGTGATTGCCGTCTTCAGTTTTTGGAAGCCTTTTCAAGGGAAAAGACAAAGTAGGCCTACTCTGTATGACCAAAAGTACCTGAAACCCCAGGGTTTTGTAGCATGTTTGTAGTATGTTTTTTAATGGGGGTTTTTTTGGTGGGGGCCGGGGTTAGTTTGGTTAATGTGCAAAAAGAAAAGAATAAACACCCATACTCTTACCAATGAGTCCCTTGAATATGATGGAAACTCTTGCACATACATGCAGTCATTCCGTATATATACAGTTTCAGAAGGACCATGACCCTTTAGGGAATCCATGAATCTCTTCGGGGGGGGGGCGCGCGTGCACATACGTACACACATTCACCCACACACGTTTCCCAAAGATGGGGTCATAGTTTATATATTCTTTTATCACATTTTTCACTAAATACATAAAAGTAATAACTACAATTATTGAATGTTCACTGTATGTCAGTAATTGTGCATTCATTTAATATGCAGAACCAAACGTTTTTTCAGGTCCATTAAATATTCATCTTTAACATAATTTTTAATTGGTGGTTGTATTTTTGAAGTATCTGATATCTTCTTTATCTAGAAATGATTTACAAAAATTTTCCCCAAATTTGCTTTGTTTTTCATTTATTTCAGTACCAACTATTTTATTTTTAAAATAGTTATTTAACTTAAGTAAAATAATTAATGTTCATAGCTGTATGTTTTGCATTGGAAAAGTATTGTGACCTAAGGGTCAGAAAAGCCAGGTCCAGCTGTGGTTGTCATTCATTAGTCACTTATCTGAGCATTAGTTTTCTTGTCTTTATCAAAGGCCTAATATAAGCCTCCCTCACCTCACATGGAGAGTATAAAGAGGTTAGGGGGAAAGTGCTATAAAAGCTGAAGCATGATTAGATTGCTAAATTAAAAGTGTTTGAGAACTTTAGTTTTTTTATATTTTTAGTAAATAAGTATAATATCTGATAATAGCAAACCAGATGTCTTTTTTTTTTTTTTTTTTTTTAGGAAAATCCAGTCAGTTAATTGATTACTAAACTTCTTTTTTACATAAATTTACTTCCAAAAAGGTTTTACTGTATTAGTAATCTAAACAACAACAATAACTGCTTTTATTTGTTGAGGATTTACAGAGTGCCAAATACTGTGCTAAAGCATTTACGACATACATTATTTCATTTAGTTCTCATAACGACCACTTAGGAATTGTTGTGGAGAAAATCCATGCCTATCACATTCTAAAACCTGGACTCTTAACCCCCTATGTTTACTTACTTTATGTCCTAAAAGAGGCAGTGTATGGCATTGAAGTTAAATAAGTTCTGTAACCAGGCTACCTAGAATTAAACCCTAGGTCTGCCACTTAATAACTTTCTTACTTCAGCAAGGTAATTAACCCTTTTCTGTCAAATGGATAATAATGCTCTGATAGAAATATAATGACAGTCGAATAAATTGTCAAGTGTGAAGCATTTTAAAACTGCAGTTCATTAAAACATTAGCTCATACACTCCACTGATTGGACAGTTTGGAGGATAGATAAAAGAAATTTTTTAAAAAATTTTTTTTGTATGTGAAGCTTTTACGAAAAGTTTTACTTTTTTTTTAATTAATGTATTTGGATAACATTGTTTAATAATATATAAATTTCAGGTGTACAACATTATAATTCAACATCTGTATACTCTCTTGTGTGCTCTAGTCTCCTTCCGTCAGCATGTACTTGACCTCTTTTACCCCTCTTTGCCCTTCCCAACCATTCTGTTATCTGTGTCTATGAGTTTGCTGCTTTTCTGTTATATATCCCACACAAGTGAAATTGTACTGTTTTAATATATTTTGGATATTAGCCCCTTAAAGAGAAATATCATTTACAAATATCTTCTCTCATTCAGTTGGTTGCCTTTTTGTTTATTGATGCCTTCTTTTGCCGTACAGAAGCTCTTTAGTTTGATGTAATCCCATTTGTTTATTTTTGCTTTTGTTTCCTTTACCTTTGGAGTCGAGTTCACAAAAACATCTCTGAGACCAATATCCAGAAGCTTAGTGCATATGTTTTCTTCTGTGTATTTTATTGTCAGGTCCTACATTCAAATCTTTAATCCATTTTGAGTTAATTTTTGTGTGTAGTGTAAGGTCAGAGTCCAGTTTCTTTCTTCTTCTTTTTTTTTCTTTGTCTTTTTGCATATGACTGTTCAGTGTTCCCAGTATCATTTATTGAAGAAACTTTCCTTTCTCCATTGCTTATCCTTGGCTTCTTTATCAAAAATTAGGTGTCCATATATGTGCCATCTATCAGCTTTTTGATTTAGCACAGTGGCTACATGAAAACTATCTAAATCGCCTATTTCAACTACTAAAACCATCAATTAATGCTTATTTTATGTATTTTTTAGGTCATTTCTGATTCATTTGCATCCTTGAAGAGCATCTGTAGAAGAGGAAGGAAAAGATGGGTGTGAAAACATTTACTCATAGTTCTTCTTCTCACAGCCAGGAAATGCTTGGGAAACTAAATATGCTGCGAAATGATGGACATTTTTGTGATATCACTATTCGTGTCCAGGACAAAATCTTCCGGGCACATAAGGTGGTACTAGCAGCTTGCAGTGATTTTTTTCGCACCAAACTTGTAGGCCAAGCAGAGGATGAGAACAAAAATGTGTTGGATTTGCATCATGTTACAGTAACTGGTTTTATACCCCTTCTAGAATATGCTTACACAGCCACTCTGTCAATTAACACAGAAAATATCATTGATGTTCTTGCTGCAGCCAGCTATATGCAGATGTTTAGTGTTGCAAGCACCTGCTCAGAGTTCATGAAATCAAGCATTTTATGGAATACACCCAACAGCCAACCAGAAAAGGGTCTAGATGCTGGACAAGAGAATAACTCTAACTGCAATTTTACTTCTCGAGATGGAAGCCTTTCACCAGTATCTTCAGAGTGCAGTGTGGTAGAAAGAACCATTCCTGTTTGCCGAGAATCCCGGAGAAAGCGCAAAAGCTACATTGTTATGTCTCCTGAAAGTCCTGTAAAGTGTAGCACACAAACAAGTTCTCCCCAGGTATTGAATTCTTCAGCTTCCTACTCAGAAAACCGAAATCAACCTGTTGACTCTTCTTTAGCTTTCCCCTGGACTTTTCCTTTCGGAATTGATCGAAGGATTCAGCCTGATAAGGTGAAACAGGCAGAAAATACCCGGACTTTAGAATTACCTGGCCCATCTGAGACAGACAGAAGAATGGCTGATTTTGTGACTTGTGAAAGCACAAAAACTACCTTGCCTCTGGGTACTGAAGAAGATGTCCAGGTCAAAGTAGAAAGGTTAAGTGATGAGGAGGTTCATGAGGAAGTATCCCAGCCTGTCAGTGCATCTCAGAGTTCACTGAGTGATCAGCAGACAGTGCCAGGAAGTGAACAAGTCCAAGAGGACCTTCTGATTAGTCCACAGTCTTCCTCTATAGGTATAATGTTTTCTGTGTTTTTGAAACATTTTTTATAAGTGCTTACTAGATTAAAGTTTTATGCCGGGTCCTATAGGAAATATTAGAAAGAATAAAACATAACTGGATGTTTTTTTATATGCTACTAATACTGTAAGTTTTTTTTTATAAGTTATGCATTGGGGAAGAAAGAAAATAGTTGAACAGTATTTGATGGGACAAAGGCAGATAAAGGTATGTATGAATGAATTGTGAATTATTTTCAATGCAAAAAATACCAGTTTAAAAAAATCCAGTTAGTGTTTTATTCTTTATTAAAATATTTATTGAAAACTTAACATGCACCAAACATTGGGGATACATGATAAAAAAGAAATAGTCACTGCATCTGAAGATTTAGTAGTCTAATTGAGGAGGTAGATGTGTGAATTAGTGGTTTGTGCTAGGCTAGAGGTATGAACAAAGTGTTACAGGTTCCTAAAGGAAAGGACAAGTTAACACTGTATTTAAGCTGGATGTTGAGTAGGAGTTTGCCCAGGCAAGGAAATGACATTTCTTTGAAAATGTATAAAAGCATAGAGGTGTGGAACAATATTGTATGTTTGGTAAACAGCAAATTCAGTGCAAAATGATGGGAATAAAGCATGGAAGCCTGCGGATATGGAAAATAATAGATGAGACAAAATGAATGGTTGAGAGCAAGTTGTGAAGAGCTTTGAACACTGGTTTCAGTTAGGATTGCATTCAACTGCATGTAACAGAATCCCTTCAGGATTTTAATTTTTCATCATGTGAAACATTCAGAAATAGGCATTCCAGGCATTCATGTACAGTGTCTCTACAATGTAATCAGTGACCTAGACCCCTGGCATATTTATAATTTACCATCCTTAATTTCATTTCATTTTCATCAGTTTCATTTGCATCCTTACTGCTTTGTGGTTAGAAAATTCTTGCTTCATCTTTAGCCTTATATTCTAGAGGGGGTTAGTGCTATATCAGGAAAGCACAGACATTCCAAAAAATTCCTTCAAAATTGCCAGATTTTTGTCACACAGATTTTTCTAGCTGCAAGGGAATCTGACAAGACATGTAGTTAGCTAGGTGTATAACTGCCTCAAACAAAATTAGAGAAGAATGAATATTGTGTGCAACTAGCAGTGTGTGCCATAGCTAGGCCAGGTAAGCTCAGATTTTATTTTCATGATGATAAGAAGTCTACTTTAGAGGGAATAAAAAATAAAATATTTACAGATATCTTAGGAAAATTAATTTGGTATTGATATGCAGGGAGTTTGTCTGGATGAACCAGTTACCATATAGTTGTCGTTGGTTCAGTGAAGATGCTTAGGCTAAAACTATAAAGAAAATAGGTACAGCCCTGGCCGGTGTGGCTCAGTTGGTTGGAGCATTCCTCTGTAGACCAAGAGGTTGCAGGCTCGATTCCTGTCAGGGCACATAACCCAGGTTGCAGGTTTGAGCCCCAGTATGGGCACATATGAGAAGGCAGTCAATTGATAGTTCTCTCTCACATTGATATCTATCTATTTCTCTCTCTCTCTCTCTCTCTCTCTCTTTCTCTCTCTCCCTCCCCCTTCCTCTCTCTCTAAAAATGCAATGAAAAAAATATTCTTGAGTTGAGGATTCAAACAAGTGGGTATTAAGAGACTTTGTAAATGTAAAGTAAGAATCATTACTGCCTGATGGTATTGAACAGGTGGATTGAGGATATAGGACAGTTCAGAGTACTCTGGATGATTAGGAAATATATTGATAACATTATACAGGGGTGGACAAAAGTAAGTTTACGATTGTGAGTACACAAAAGTTTATTTTTGTATTACTGTGTTATTTCCTTTTTTAATTATTACTGTTTTTTTAATTCTCATCCAAGGATATATTTATTGATTTTAGGGAGAAAGAGGAAGGGGGAGAGAGAGAAACACAGATGTTTTGAGAAAGGAACATTGATTGTTACATCAAACTAACTACTATTTTTTGCTGCTACGTATTCTTTTAAGTACTAAGTACACTTTAAAAAAACTTTTTTCTGGTGGTGAAAAATAATTACAGTGGCCATCCACTACTGAACGTTTACCATGTGCCAGCCACTGTTATAAAAAAGTTTTTTTAAGATTTTATTCATTTTTAGAGAGAGGAAAGGAGGGAGAAAGAGAGGGAAACATCTATGTGTGAGAGATATATCAGTCAGTTGCCTAATGCATGCCCCCAACTGGGGACCTGGCCCGCAGCCCAGGTATGTGCTCTGACTGGGAATTGAACTGGCAACCTTTTGGTTTGCAGACCAGTGCCCATTCATACCACTGAGCCACACCAGCCAGGGCCACTGTTCTAAATTTTTTAAAAAGAATATCTCATTTTTTAACTGAGGAAGAGAAAAGGCAGCCCCCTAATATTTAGAAACTGGCCTGACACCAACACAGGGCCTCATGGTCACAGGACATAAAATAGTCTCACAGAAGAACACCTGCATCGCACCAGATCACATGATCTGAAACAAAACACATTTATATGGTGTTGTGCAAACTGTTATAATTAGTGCAGTTTAGCTTTCATTAAAATATTGCAACCAAAGCTTCCTTGCTATTAATGAACTACACAGCCTCAGCAGATCAAGATTTATCCAGTTGGCGCACCACAGCTTATTTGCATATGGTTAAAGACATTGGCAAAGTTCAGTGCCTGATCAGGACAATCTAGGTTGTTTGGATCTACCCTCCCACTGAAAACAAGAATGTGATTTTGTAAAGGTACCTTTAAAGTATTTGAAAAGATGTTTAATTTTAGGGGACAGCCTGCCCCAGAGAGATAAGTAGGTATCAGAGCACTAAAACCAGTTTTTCCAAAAGACATATGCCAAAACTCAAATGGACTTTGGTTCATCAACTCAAAAAGTGAGAGAAATAGAAGTCAAGACTCGATATGAAAGTTGTGAATTCTTAGAGCAGTTGCTCTACACATTAAGTAGGAACCCCAAAGTTCTGTACCGGTAGGACTAAACCTGCTGCCCTACCTCCAGACTCCAGGAGACTGTAGAAACAGGCTTGTTGGCATTGGGCAGAGTAGAAGATAAGAAAGACAAAAGAGGGGAGCACACCCCTGAGGTTGTGGCCACCACCCAGACATCTTGCAGATTTACATCTTGATTGTTGCCTGCAGGCGTAGGCCAAGGAATCTCAGTGAATTTGGTGTAGGTAGCGCCCTCTGGGAACCTAGCAGAAGGAAACATATTAAGCTACTCTGAAGAGGGACATATGCATCCAAACTTCCGTAAATCAATCTCTTACAAAGAATTTTCAAGGGCCGTAACCACTGTCAAAAACAACCAGGGCACGCAAGGTAACATGGGAGACAGAGTACCAACACGGGCGGGAAGTAGGCAACAGAAATAAATTGGCATAGCCAGTTGGCATAGTTTTCACACAGATATAAAACAAATATGCTTACTATGTTTAACAAAATAAACAAGCTTAAACAATAATTGCAGAGTAGTAAGCTAAAAAGTAATGTAGAAGATTTGAGGAAAAACCAACTAGGACTTCTAGGGGTGGGGGGTGGGAAATGACCAAAATAAAAGTATCAGTCAACATTTTGGCAGCAGATCGGACTTTGCAGAAAAGAGAATTGGTGAATCAGAAGATAAATTAGAAGAGACTCTGTTAGTCAGCGTTCTCCAGAACCAAAAGGAGAGAGAGAGATAGATAGAGATTTATTAGGAGGGATTCACTGACATGATATAGGGGATGAGAAGTCCCACAGTTTGATGTCTGCTGGCTGGAGGCCCAGGAAAGATAGTGATGCGGTTCTAATCCAGACCTAAATGCCTGGGAACCGGGAGAGCTGATGTCCAAGAGCAGGAGAAGATGGATGGATATTCCAGCTCAAGCAGAGAGCAAATTTGACCTCCTTGCAACCTTTTGTTCTGTTTGATCAAGGGATGGGATGACACCTACCTGCATTGGTGAGGATGATTTTCACTCAGTCTATGGATTCAAATGCTAATCTCTTCCAGAAACACCCTCACAGACACACCCAGAAGTAATGTTTTACCAGCTGAGTATCCCTTAGCCCAGTCAAGTTGACTTATAAAATTAACCATCACAGAGAACAATGGTAAAGAATGCAGTGGAAAAGATAAGGATTATCATAAGGTGTCTACATGTGCAATAAAAGTACCTTTCAAGAATGAAGGTAAAATAAAGACATTTTCAAAGAAACAAAAACAATGCGGCAGATCATCACTAAAGAAAATTCTGAAGTGTGGTACATACATAGAATAGAATATTGCTCAACCATTAAAAAGAATTAAGACTTTGCCATTGTGACAACATAGAGGAACCTACAGGGTATTATGCTAAATGAAACAAGTCAGACAAATACCATATGATTTTTATTATATTGGATTCTAAAAAGCAAATGAACAAAAGAGAAACAAACTCATAAATAGAACAAACTAATTGTTGCCAGATGGGAGGTGGATTAGGGGGACAGGTGAAAAATGGAGTAAGAACTACAAATTAACAGTTACAAAATAGCATAGGGAGCGATTCCAGTCAATAATACTGTAATAACTGTGTTATGGTACCAGGGGGTACTAAACTTATTGGGCACATCACTTCATAAGTTACATAAATGTCTAACCATGATGCTGTACACCTAATTATATAATATTGAATGTCAGATGTAACTGAAAAATTTCTAAGTTTAAGAAGAAAATTCCTAAGGGTAGACTTCAGGCAGAAGTAAACTGAGCACAGATGAAAGGTCTAATATACAAGTAGGAATGAAGGGCAAAGAAATGTAAGTTTGTGAACAAATGTAGCTAAACATTGCTGTGTAATGTCTTGTGGGGCTTTATCAAAAACAAAGTAAAATATCACACAATAATTCATAAATTTCAGAGAGTGAGCAGGAAATGGAGTTAAAGTGTTCTAAGATACTTATACAGTTGTGAGTATACAAAACAGTTTATTCTTGTTTTATTATTAATTATTGTATTGTTTTCATACAAACAACTGTAAACCTACTTTTTTCCCATCCTGTATTATCCAGGGAGAAAGTAAATGTTTTAATTTTCGACTTTGATAAGTATGGGTCTAATTTCTAAAATAACTAATAAAAAAGAATGGGAAAAGGTTGTGTAATTTCCAAACTAATAAAAGGGGAGAAATAGAATGATTATTAACCACGTATATTCAACAGACTTATTCTGAAATGTATAAAGAAATGCAAAGGGCCAAGAGTAGCTTAGGTGTTCAGGAAGAAAATGAATGGGATGAGAAGATTTGCTCTACCTGATACCAAAGTTTATTATAAAGCTATGGTAACTGAAGACTGGCACACTGCAAAGACAGCCAAGCAGATGGAACTAGTAGAAAACCTGGAAACAGACCAAGTGCTTAGTGCACTGCAGAGAAGAAAAGACGGGCTTTTCAATAAATGTTTTCAATCACAAAATCAACTCCAGGTGGATTTTTTAGAAAAGACCTAAATGTCAAGGACAAAATATAAATCTTTTGTAAGATAATTTGAGATAGGGAGGGATTTTGGAAAAACAAGATCAAAAAGCCATACCATAAAGGAAAAAACTAATAAATTTAATTAAATTAAAATTTTAAAGTTTTGATCATCAAAAGAAACCATAAAAAGAAAAGTCATGGAAGAGGGAAAATATTTGTTACATGTATCACTGACAAAGGGATTGTATTTGAAATAAAAAAGAACCCATAATGAGAAGCACGCAACTCAATAACAAGACTTGAACAAGCATTTCCCAAAAGAGGGGGTTCAATAAATACACAAAAATGAGCTCAATCTCATTAGTAATAAGGGAAATGAAACTCAAACCACAATAGAATATTGCTGCACACCCACTTGATTGTCAAAATTTTTTAAATCTGACAATACCAATTTTAAGGATATGGAGCAATATAACACTAGTGTAAATTTAGTATAATCACACTTTCTAAAAGAGTTTAGCTTTTTCTGATAAAGATAAACATATCTTATGACCCAGCAATTCCATTCCTGAGTTTAGATACCCTAGGAAGAAGCGTGCATATATGCATTCAGTTACTTGTACAAGAATATTCACAGCAGCATCGTTCATAATAACCTGAAACTGTCCACCCAGAGTGAAATAGGTAGGTTGATTATGAATGTCATACAACAATTTTTAAACTTCACTTACCTGTAACATAGATAAGTCCAAAATAAAGTCAGGATAATGGTTACCTCTTGGAAGATGTTTGTGATCAGGGAAAAGGTAAATAGGGACTTCTAGGATGCTGGCAGTATTTTAGTGGGTCTTGTGTGGAGGTTTCATAGGTGTTCACTTTATAGCTATCTTTTAATTCTATGTAAAAATTACATGTACAATAAGTAAGTTGTATGCCACAATAAAAAATGTTTAAAGATGAAAATTGTCACCCTGGTCAGTTTGGCTCGGTTGGAGCGTTGTCCCATAACTGAAAGGTTGCAGGTTCAATACCCAGTCCAGGCTCATTCAGTCCCTAGTCCAGGCATGTATGGGAGGCAACAAGTTGGTGTTTCTCACATCAATGTTTCTCTCTTCCCCTCTCTAAAAAGCAATGGGGAAAAAATGTCCTCAGGTGAGGATTAAAATATTAAATAAGTAAATAAAAATTGTCAACAAGCAAGTGCTGGCAAGGATGTGAAGAAAAGGGAACCCTAGTGTACTGTTCGTTGGAATGCAGATTGGTGCAGCCACTGTGGAAAGCAGTATGGAATTTCCTCAAGAAATGTAAAATGGACCTGCCTTTTAACCCAGCAATTCCATTTCTGGGAATATACTCTAAGAACCCCAAAGCACCAATCAGAAAGAATGCTTGCACCCTTATGTTTATAATATTATTTATAATAGCCAGGATCTGGAAAGAGCCCAAGGGTCCATCAGTAGATAAGGGGATAAAAAAAACTCTGGTACCTTTACACAGTGGAATGCTACTCGGCCATAAAAAACGGAAATCTTACCTTTTACAACAGCACAGATGGACCTGGGGAGTATTATGCTGACTGAAATAAGCCAGTCAGAGGAAGACAAGTACCATACAATCTCACTTATATGTGGAATCTATTAAACAAAATAAGCTGAAAAAAGAGAACCAGGGGCATGGAAACACAGAACAGACTGACATCTCAGAGGGAAGGGGGTGGGGTGGGAGGAACTGAATAAAAAGTAGGTGAAGAGATTAGCCGAAGAACATCAATGCATAGCCCATGGACAGCGACAGCAGTGTGGTGAGGGTCGGGGAGAAGGTGCTGGGTGCAGGTAGGCAAAGCGGGATGGGGGACATCTACAATGGTGCTGGCAAAAAAACCTGAATGAAAATTGGTTCCTTAATTGTTTTAACCTGTAATTTGATACAAAATTTTGTTTAGTTTAAAATTGAATTACTCTGCTTGTTTCTAAAATTGATATCAAAGAAGTATTCCTAAAAGAATTTAAGTAATAAAGGCTGTTGTCTTGCAGCCTTTTTAGAAGTCCACCCAGGACTTCTTTTTAAATCACATCAACATTTAAAGTAAAATATTACAAAACACTTTGGATTAATAATTCAGCATATACATACACATTAGTCCTTTTAAAGGCTTGAAGATAGAGCGTGCAGCTAATATCTTGGCGTACTGACACCAAAGTATTGACAGCTGTCTTTTATTTTCAGGCTCAGTAGACGAAGGCGTCACTGAAGGGTTACCTACACTTCAAAGCTCTTCTAGCACTAATGTTCATGCAGACGATGATGATCGGTTAGTATGTCGTTTTCTTTTAAGGGCTGTGCTTGCAACTCTTAAATTTAAGTATTTTATCTGGGAACTATATAAGAAGTTTATTGGGACCTCATTTTAGTATATTTTTCAGAGCAACAAGGTAACATCATTATCATAAATCAAACCACCTATACAGCGGTTTTCTTAGCATTTCCAGAACTCCCAGTCCCATCACTTCAAATAGTATTTGTATCAGGGGTTGGCAAACTGTGGACCACAGGCCAATTCCAGCCTCACCAACCTTTATTTGTTAATCAAGTTTTATTGGAACATAGTTGCACTCATTTTTTTATGTATCATCTGTGGACAGCAGAGTTGAGTGAGTGAAAGAGGTCATGAAGCGTGCAAAGCTAGAAATAGTTCCTATCCTGCCACAGAAAATATTTGTCAGACCCTCATCTGTCTACCCATAATTTCCAAGTCACCTTCAGGTTGACCCTCCCTGCTTCATATTTCCACATAGACATATAAGGGGCATTTCAGACTTAATTTGGCCAACACAGAACTTTGAACTCCCCTTCAAAGCTTCCTCCTCCAGGGTTTCCCCTCTCAGTAAACAACATCATTCCCCAATTTCTCAAGCAGTATCTCCAGAAATTATAAATGGTCTTTCCCTTACTCTCCATGGGCCCCGCCCTCCCTCCCCCCATTTAATCCTTAAGCAAGTCCTCAGATCTCTACCTCCAACACATACCCCACATCGGCCCCCTTTTCCTCCATCTCTGCTACAGCCACCCTAGCCCAAGTCACCGTCTTTTGCCTTGACCACTGCAGCAGCCTCAACTGGCCCCTGATCGCATCCTCCCCCTACTCTACTCATTCTCCATGTAGCAGCTAGAATGATCTTGTTTTTAATTAAGTCAGGTTATGTATGGTAAGCAATAGATTCTTAAATGTTTCCTATAGATTCACACTTAAAATCTAAACTTGCTAATGCTTTTTAAAACCCTATGTGATAGGACTTCTGCCTGCCTCCCTTCAGACCGTTCTCCCTACATGCTACCTTTTAGCCACCCAGGTCTCCTTTCCTCTCATGGAATAGCCTCTATCTGTTTCTACTTTGGGGCCTTTCTGCCACTTAGGGCCAGTATTCTCCCTGAAATGTTTCCTCCCCTTATTTTCACATCATTATCTCCTCCTCAGCCTTCAGACCACTGTCTAAATGTTAGTTCTCAAGGGAGCTGTTCCTGAACACTAGTCTAAAACAGCACTAATCACTATTAGTTCACCCCATTTTAATTCTCTGTTCTGATAATTTTCTTGAGTATTATCTGTCTCCGACCATTTAATATAGACTCTGCTGAATTAAATCCTCAGAGTCTAGGACAGACTTAAAAACTGTATTTCTTGAGAACCTGAAGGATTCAGAGACCTCAAATAAGGTTTATTCTTGAATAGCTAAGTGTGGCAGAGCAGGTTAGTACCAGAGTCATTTGAAAAAAATTAATGAAGATGTAAACAAATGGGAATGTGCCTAGATTTCTTAATTTCAAACATTAATGAGGTTGTCTGTTTTACACTAGATACTGTGGTAAGTGGTAGAGATATCAGAGGTGAAATGTGTAGTCCTTGATGAAAAGAGATCAAACCAATTTTGGAGGAGGGAGAGAGGTTAAGAATAGGCCTATAAACATATCCTCGAGTGACCTGCAAAGGGTTCTGTTGCTCTGCATAGGAAGGTACTTACCTCTAAAACACCGATGAAGAAGGCTTCCAAGAGGAAGAGGGGCCTTTGCTACATTTCATAAGAGGACTGGTCGTTATGTAGGCAAAGGAGGTAGGCTAGTAGAGGAAGATACATGGACAAAACAGAGCATTGGGAGAACTATTAGGAGGAACTGCTTGGTATAGTGTATGTTTGGGGAGCATGACAAGATACAAGGCTGGAAAAGTAAACAAAACCCAGACCGTGAGGAATGCTTTGCGAAAGGATTTAGACTTTATTCTGACGATAACTGAACCATTGCAGGAGTTTCAATGGGCCGATTGAATCAGATCATTGTGAAACAGTGAGAAGGATAGATTAGAGGGCTGTAGGGAAAAGAGAAGGAATTATTAATTCAGCCTTGTATTGATGAGGTCTAAATAAAAGCAATGGTAGGAAGAAAAGGATTTGAAAGGGTAAGGATACCTGAGGTAAAAGTGTTTATGGTATTTTCTGTGTCTTTATGTCCTTGCTTAAGATGCGGACCATTCTGGACAATAACATTTTTCATATTGTTGTGAATGAAGCTTGTCGTCCAACAGTTAAAGAGTTTCAAAACGTCTTTAAGTGTTTTTTCTTTTGTTCATTTAAAGTTGTGTGGGAATGTTTATTCAACTTAAAAATCGGAGCCTGGTTGCCTTCTTTGGTCTGTTTTTTAGATTGGAAAATGTTCAGTATCCCTACCAACTCTACATTGCTCCTTCTACCAGCAGTACAGAACGACCAAGTCCAAATGGTCCAGACAGACCTTTTCAGTGTCCAACTTGTGGGGTGCGATTCACCCGTATTCAGAACCTAAAACAGCACATGCTCATCCACTCAGGTAATGTCACCTTCCCTACTAGGGCATAAATGAGTACTCTGAAACATTTTATTTTGGAATCCCAGTTAAAAATAGAAACCAGGTGGTTTTGAGTTAAAAAATATATAGGTATCTCTGGGCAGTCAAATGAGAACAGATAAGCCTAGGTCTGTTGCTGAAATGATAGTGTCAGAAAGCTGTTTCCTTAATATATTTTCCATTAGCATAAGTATTCTGATTAAAACTTAGAGCTGTGTGTGTATATAATATGTAAGTAAAAAAGATACTGGACATATTAGGTGTGTGTGTATATGTGAGATAGAGAGGCACGAATACAGATTGTAAAACAAATGGGATTAAAAGGGTGTGTGTGTGCGCGCTTTGTACTGTTCTTACAACTCTTAAGTTTGAAATTACCTACAAATAAAAACTATTTGAAAAGTGTAATTGTAATAATTTAATTTTAATTCTGCAATCCTGAATCTCTCTGTGTCCTGGCTAGTTGGCTTTGTAGTCCCTTTTTAGTATGAAAGAGACTTTAAATAAATGATGTATAAAAGAGATTTGAAACTTAAGTTCAGCGATCATGTAAAGGCAACACAACTCCCGTAGGTAAATCACTGACCTCTGATACGTAAGAAATCTCTGTTGCTGTTTTCAGCTGCGCGATCTCACTTCCCTCTTCTTCAGATAGACCTAATCGTCCCTGTGATTAATGTCAGTTCCCTATGACTTTGTTAATCAGCAGATTATATTTTGAAAGTTTCAAAATATTTTTGCCAAAACTGTGATGATGAATTTAGAGACCATTAATGTAATGTATAATATACATGTTAATTTCTACATATTTTTTCTATCACTGTTACATTAAATACCCCAAAACCAAAGTCATCAAATGTTGTTCTATCATTATGTTCAGAGAAGTTAGAATTTTTCTTCCATCTTCTCATTTCTCTCTGAGATGGGGAATGAAGAGTAACTACTGATTTTTTTTTCACATCCTTTCAGTATAAACCTCACTAATGAAATGAAACAAATGTTAGATGGGGATTTCTGTTTAAGAGTTCTGTTTAAATACTGCAGTTAAATTGTGTTTTGAAGTCTGTAAAATAGACGACTAGAAAAGTTTTCAGAAATCAGTCTGAGTGTATATTGCCGAGTTGACCTCACCCCCTCTTGCCTTTCTTTCTTTTTCATAAAAACAGTAGTGACATCATGTGTTCTGTACCTTTTCTGAGATAATGAATTGGAATTCATTTTTGCTGGTGAAATCTGTATTTTCTAACATATCTACTGCTGCAAAATTATAGCTCAGAAATTTGTGAGGTTTATGACCTTTCACTTCATTTTGTTTTTAGGTAATATTTTGGTTTTGCTTTATTTTATAGGAATTAAACCATTTCAGTGTGACCGCTGTGGAAAAAAGTTCACCAGGGCTTACTCGCTAAAGATGCATCGCCTAAAGCATGAAGGTAAACGCTGTTTCCGGTGCCAGATATGTAGTGCCACTTTCACTTCCTTCGGGGAATATAAACACCACATGAGGGTTTCCCGGCACATTATCCGCAAGCCTCGGATTTACGAGTGCAAAACATGTGGCGCCATGTTCACCAACTCTGGAAATTTAATCGTGCACCTGAGGAGTCTGAACCATGAAGCGTCAGAGCTAGCAAACTACTTCCAGAGCAGGTGAGGCGCACAACGAAAACGGAACCAGGAAAACTGCTTTCTAAACTCTCTTTTCCTGCTTTTAGGGCAGCCTGCTTTGTCTTTTTCAGGCTGCCAGGTAATCAGTTACATTCCTTTTAAATTCCCACTGTCCATACTCCAACCTCCTCATCTGATACAATTTTGATGAATCTTCTAAGTATATACAATTAAAAACATTCTATTTGAAATTAAAAATTTTTTCCTACAGAAGGAGGCTAGACATCCTCTGCAGTTTTGTTTGGGGGTTTTGGGGGGTTGTTGGGGCTTTTTTGTTTTGTTTTGTTTTTTGATAATGTAAGATTGAAGTAATCCTGTGGATCGTAAATAGACCTTATTGGACAACTTGCCATGTCAGACGATACTCAGTGATGCTGGATGACGTCGGACTCTTTGGATGCTAATAAAATTCTTGACCATTTTTCTCTCTTTTAATTCTATATAAAGAAATATGCAAAATAAGAGAGAAATTTCAGTAGCAGTTACAATGGATTAAATGAAGCTTTCCTTTTTTTTCTTTCAACTTAAAGCTTCATTCTTTTAATATTAAGAGTTGATAATAGGATTACCTTTCTGATTTATAGATTATCCAAGGAGATTAGGTTGCAGTTAGAGCTCTGCCACTAACTGCTGTTATGATTCAGTGTGTCACTTTACAGATGAAGAAGCTTGAAAATTAGAAAAAGATAAAATGTAAGCATTAAACGTGATTTCTAAGGTCCCCTTTAGATATAAAATTGAATTGTCTATTTTTAATATACCTTGTAGGAATGCTCAGTTTCTTATAAAATGAATCTTAAATTTTAAACCACTTTTTATTTCTTAAATCTTGTTACTCAGTAAATTCCAAATACCCCTGCATAGATTTTGTTTTTCTCTTCAAATCAGACATTCACTTTACTTAATGTAATTATTTCTAACACTGAGCATCTGGTTATCATATTACTAAACCTAGATTATACATGTCATAGTAAACAGCGTTGGAGACTGAAACAGTACCCCAGTTAACCACTCCTGCTGTCTGTGTCTGTCCTGCACAGAGCCCCTCTCTGCTCCACTTAATCTTGTCTAACACCAAAAGAATTTCTAGAAAATATAACATGACACCTTAAATCACTTTACAGATGAGATTTTAATATTTTTATTAATACTGAACAATTAAATTACAGCTTTATTAAGTGTATTAGTTATTATATTTCTAGTATAATGAAGCAATAAAGATATAAATAAAGGATCTAAGATAAGACTTATGTTTAACTATGAAAATGCTTATAGTAGAAAATTGAGTTAATGTAAAAAAATACGGTATAAGAAATGAAAGCCCTTTTCTGATCTTGCCACTCAGGAGTAATAAGTACTGTTAAAATTCTGATAAATTTTACATTCAGTAATTAAATATTTATATCAATAGTCTATTAAATACTTTCAATATCAGTAAACAGTCTCTGAGGACTAAAATGTAACTAATCTCATGTTATATATTTCCAAATTCTGATTCAAATGTAATTTAGTAGTTTTCACATACCAAATCTAATAGCAGGGCACATAAGTTTTTTATGTTTCTCTAAATAGTCAATTTTGTAGAAGGTCATTTATGCATAAGGATTTAGTTTCTTAACTACCTTATATTCAGAAAGTAATACACTAGGTTTATATACCTTTTAATAAATATATAGTCCAAAAAAGATTAAGCGTAAGTTATTCAAGTGCTCTTTGCCTAACAGAAACTGCTACATAAAACAAGAAAGACTATCATATTTTGCTGTGTATAATGCGCACTTTTTGCCCAAATTTTTGCGGGGAAAATAAGGATGCACGTTATACATGGGTAGTACTAATTCTGTTTCTATATAAATGTTTTTAATTCTTTTATTTATGCTTATGCGTTAAAAGTATAACTCTAGAAAGCAATAACAATATCCGTATGCAAAATAATACCTTAGAATACAATAATTGGTTTTGTTTCTAAATGTAAATGAGTAATTGAATTTAAAAAATTAAAATGGAAGATTTTTTTTTTTCCTGAAAATTCGGCCAAAAATGTGGATGCATATTATACATGGCAAAATACAGTGTTTAGGTGGCTGAGGTGACACTGAGTCTTACCTGCTGCTACTGGGAGGGAGAGTGATACATACTTTGGTTCTAATGGGTCACTTTGGTTCATATTTAGGACAGTTTAGACGTAAAATTCCTGAGTTTAATCTTCATTCAAGAATTAGAAAAACAAAAAAAGCCCTATCTTGTTTTACAAAGCAGGTCTGTATATTGTGTCTTGTTTATTTCTGGGTTAAAAATTAACTTCTATTTCATCCTTTGCCTCTTATCTAGTGATTTCCTAGTACCGGACTACTTAAACCACGAGCAAGAAGAGACCCTTGTTCAGTATGATCTTGGAGAACACAGTTTTGAAAGCAACTCCTCTGTTCAAATGCCTGTAATTTCACAGGTCTCCTCAACCCAGAATTGTGAGAGCACTTTTCCCTTGGGGTCTCTTGGTGGGCTGGCAGAAAAGGAGGAAGAAATGCCAGAGCAGCCAAAGACCAGTGCTTGTGCCGAGGCAACCAGAGATGATCCCCCCAAATCAGAGCTGTCTTCTATAACTATTGAGTAATTTCATGGTTTGGCTTCATTTTGGTTTTTGGAAAGTGCCTGTGCTTGGTCTTGTACCTTTAAATTTACTTTTTTAAACAAAAAAGGGTTTGGGAAAGAATTTCCCTTCCTACTTTGTAAACCCTTCAAATGATGTGTATTTTTTCATAATTGGGAGATTGCTTCTGTAAGTGCACAGTAACATGATGTCAAAACATGATACAAACTATGATATTTAAGGTGAATCAGTTGACTGAAAACATACATCAGTTTCTTCTTCCATTTTCAAAAGTAGGCTAACAAAGGATTATTAGGTAAAGAAGAAATCAGATGAACAATGACCTTGCTGAGATGAAAGTGTACACCAGAAACAAAGTACGAAAAAGAATTTGACAGGTGGCCTGAGCAGATGTTTACTCCTATACACCGGACATTGTACAATATTTGTAAAGCCTGTTGTTTTGGAAGTGTTGATGATAAGCTTTCTTAAGAATTATTAGGGTAAATACTTCTGAAATCCAATATTCTTTTTTTTAAGCTTTGTCATTTCTATTCTGATTTTTCATGGTACAAATTTGATACTGGGATAGGTATTCCCTGTACCTTTATATTACCAGTCCCCCCAAAAATCTTATCTTTCTTCCTCAAAAGAAGGCAAAGAACCATGATGAGAATAGTCAAGCTATGCATGAAATGACTGGGCATGGAGAATGTAGTATGTAAATCCCAGTTTCATAGGAACTCTTTAATACTGCTTTGCTGGCTAGAATTGTTGTTTACCTGGTCTTTGAATGTTAATCTCTGATTAATATTAGGTCTTCTACCTAAATCAGTTTTCCTCTTGCCCCATCAACACCACTTGCTCCTGCACATACAGCTGTGATACTATATAAAGGAAAAATATTGGAGATAGCCTATATTTTATATGTAGGTGTATGAATTGTTGGGGATGTTTTTTATTGTGTTGTTTTGGACAACGAAGAATTCTGTTAAGGCTACGTTCTTAACCCAGCTAAGATTGTTTACAGAAATCCCACGTGGCAGTGATACATTGTCCTTGTTCCAAAATATTTTTAGACATTGCCAAGTTTATTAAAATCAGTTAGTGTAGTTTTTACACAATATAAGCAATAATGTAAAAGGTGAGAAAAGGCTATAAAATAATAGTCTGTGAATGATGGTCATAAATCTGGGGAGGAAAGTTGTTAAGACTAAAGAAAAACTAAAGATCTTAGTATCACTTCTTTTGCTGCTAAAAGATAGGAAACTCTCTGATTAATAGTTGATTCATATGATACTCTAGACTGGAGTATCCTTTTCACATGGCACCATTTAAAGTATCATTTATACCTTGATGATCCTAAATATTTATGAGTTCATGAACAATGAACTTTTGAGTAACTCTTTTTCTATGTATATACCCAAAGTTTAATAATTATGAAAGCACCTGATTAGATCAGAAAATAAAATAAAATATAGTTTCTTATTCAACACATGAGATCTGAATTTTGTCCAGATGGTAGACCTTAATAATAAAATGTATTTTTAAGTTTTAATGATTTAATTGTTTTATTTTTTTTTTAATCTGCTACTTCTGTTATTTATCCCCCACAAATGTAAAGGAAGAGAAAGCAAACTCATCCAAGATTTTTTTAGGCCAATTTTCTTTCAGTCCCTTTCCACAGTCCACTGTTTTTAACTTGTTTCCAACTCCTTATCTCACTCATAAACTGTTTACCACTTTGCTCTCAATCGTATGTGTATGACCTCCAGGAAAGTCAACATATACAGGTTATGATGGGCTTCCCACAATTTATACTTCTTTACTACTGGGGTTGAATTACTTTCTGCAACAGACTGGTAGTAACAGTACTGCTGTGTCTCAATTGGTCTGGAATTTTTATTTTTAATGTCATACATTAGAAAACTGCTACGCCTACCACTAGATAAATGTCAAAGTTAATTTTCAAATCTTAAATGGACAAGACAAAGAATAGGTAAAATTATGACCAGCAGTTGTTGCCCTCAGTTAGTTCTAAGAGTTATTTTTAAAAGAAAGAAAAAGAAGGAAAGAAATAGGTTAAAGAAACATATTAGAATCCTTTGGGGATTTGTCGGTTGAAAGAGTTCCAGCACATCTGGCCGAAGCACTCAACCAAGGACGGCCCTGCGCAGTGCAGGCTGCCCCGGGCTGTGCCGTGTTCTCAGGAGGCGGGAAGGCCACCTCTGGCTGCTCTCCCCCAGAGGGAAACTTGAGATTTTCATTGGTAATTACAAATTGCACAGATTTCCAAGTTTTATGAAAAATTTAAATACAGTACTATGAAAATATGTACTTGGTTACATGTCTACTCCCCAAATCTTAGCAATATGGTTAATTAGCATTTAACATAAAACGATGTAAACAAAGGCCCTCTTTTCTCTATTTCATGGAGGCTCTGCATTTTTCTTGATACACAGCTTAGTGATATTTATTTAGCTCATGGATCCTTTTAGGAAACTAAGCTGCAAGAGATAATTGTATATAGAGTTAATTAGGTTTATCTAAAATTCGTTTAATTAAGGGGTGTTTGGATATGTAATTTTTACCAGAATATATGGAAAACATTGCAAATAGAAGAGAGCCAATTACATTATCTCATTCATTAGAAACTATAACTTAACATTAAAAATTCCAGTTCAGAACACTTAAGCATAGCTGTCTTAAGGCCCAAGAGGGTAACCGTGATATTTAAAGGGCTTAAATTTTAGGATGCGGGATAAATTGCCTTTTTAAAACCAAGTATTTTATACAAGAAAATCATTTATTTTCCATTTCTAAGCTACCAAATAGGTGTGCTGCACTTGAGAAGGGAGCGAAGATGTGTGCTGTGGTGCTGGACGCCCCAGCGCCTGCGGCCCCGGCCGTCCGTGCGGCGTGTTCGTCCCAACAGCAGGTGCATCTGGTTCAGAAGCAAAGGGATTCGTGTCGATGGGGTTTTTTGAATTGTAAGTTTTCTGTAAAGGAAAGCAAATGGAGTTACCCACAAATACATTTAAATGGATTTTTCTTCATTTGAATTTCAAGTAATCTTAATTTTTATTTCAAGTAATTAGTCATACATTTAGTTACATTGCCAGTTTTTGAAGCTCTTGATTTCAGTGAGGCAAAGTATACTAAAATGTGGCCTCATTCAGTCTCACGTTTTTAGCATTTCAGCAACCATTCTGGCTTACAATAATTTAATTCCATGTTATGACATATGCCCTTCAACTTTAAAAACAAACAAAACAACTTCCATTTGCTAAAGTATTTTACCAAATGGAATGGCCTAGTCAGCACATCTAATGTACTTACTATTGGTAACATTGTTACCTTCTAACTACTGAGCCCGTCTCTCCCGGTGTATATAAATGGTTCCCTGGGAGCCTTTGAACGCTGCATCACTCTTTTCAGTATTTTCTTTTATCTCTTACTATTTTTTTATTCTTGTATTTATCTTAATTTGAATAGAGGCCAAATATCTAGTTTAGTGGCTTTTATTTTAAAGATTCTCAGATCATGCTTTAGTAGTCCCTTTTAGCTTTGTAGCCCCTGAAAAATGCATTATTGTATGGTGATTTGTACTAGCGTACAACATGGAGAGAATTATTCTTATTACTTGATGAATGAACAATCCTAAAATTCTAATATTTAATTGAAAGGAGTTTGAAATTTGAAGAATTAATGAAGAGAATTAGAAACTTTCATGCAGCACTTAACTCTGTTTTCACTCACCTGCAAAATGTGAAATTATAACTCTGAAACATACATCCAAGTGAGGGGTAATAGTTTTCTAGATGTTAATATTAACGGGGGTTGGGGGGGACACATTAAGTTCTCTTGGAAAGGACCCAAAGTTGCTAAAAGGTAGTAAATGTGGTTTTTTTGCTATAAAGTTATTGATATAAGATGCTTTATAATATATTTAGATTTTGAAAGTTACCGAGAGACATCTATGAGGAATATTTATAGCTAAGCATAGTCCTACAGTCTTTGAATTAAAATCATCAAAATTTAAATTGAGTAATTCCTTATTTTTCCTATACCTATTTTTATCTTTCAATTGCTTGATGGGATGTAGTAACAATAGGAAGTCCTCGGCAAGACCAGTTTGCAAAAAGCAATAGTGGTTCACATTAAACAATGAAGTAAAATTGAATCAATTTCCAAGTTCAGCTTAGAAACAGACACTGTGGATATTTCATTTTTAGATTATATGTATGTTGAGATTTATGAATGGAAAGTTAAATCTGTCAAATTAGGGATGAAAACTGGTGACATCATAGTTGTAATTTTTTTTTTTACTTCATACTAAACTATAGTTAGATATTTTCACTCTTTCATAGTGATTATACTTTTATGATAGAAAAAAAATAACAGACCCATGTCTTTATGTCCTTACAAATAGTCTCTGCACAAATGTAAGACAGTGTTGTTGGCATCTCATTTTGGTGGCATCTGAAAAATGAGGCTGCGTTGACATGTTCGTGTAGTTTATAGTTCTGCAGCTCCCTCTGTCTAGGACCCCGGGCAGCTCCAACTAATACCAAGGTTCCTGTTTACATAGTAGTTTACAAAGAGCTTAAAGAGTTCAGGCCATTGATAGAAAACAAAAACTTTAAAAAAAAATTTTTTTAACTCATTATTTTAATTTCAGTTTGAAGTGCCTGGTTTATAAAATCAATTTTTTTTATTATTACCTTTCTCTTTTCAGAAATTAAATAATTTTTCTGATTAAGCTTAAAGCCCTGGGCTCAGTTGTGATGATGTAACGTTGATAAAAGTTCTCCTTGATGGTTTGAGGGGCAGCAGTTTCATAACTTTGTTCGGTTGTCCTTGTTTTCCCAAATGCCATCTAACCATCCTCAGATTTCATTATTCAATTCAGTTAAAAAGAACATTCTTCCTGTCCCTGAATGTTTAAGTTACCAAAGTACATCACCCACCCAGGGAGGCCGTATCTTCCTGCTGTAGGGGGGCCGTCATCTCCCAGCACCGTGAGTCCCTTGGTATTAGTGGAGGCTGTTCATTTAAAGATGGGGAGCCTTTTGTGCAGCTCCTAGAAACACGTCTTTCTAGAGAGAACCTTTTCTGTGGTCGGACTGTGTTTTCCAGTTCTCTGTTGACTCCCCCACTGACAGGTGCTGTGTGGAGTCTCACGCTGAGGGCAGCGGGGGCGGTGTGGGAAGTTGCACTGCTTTTCATCTTTCAGGTGCCTGGAATGAACACCATCACATGTTTGGAAGGCGTCAGATCATTAAACTTTATTCATTTTCTTCCTTGTACAAAGAGATGGCTTCAAATGCCTCTGCTTCAAGATATTTTTGAAACACAACAGTCCCTAAAAGGGTAAACTTTGGTTTCAAACCAAGCCCCAATAGTAGAGTTGGTGTTTCTGTGGTTACTGGTGCTCCCGCACCAGGGGAAGATTGCCTGCCTCTCACAGGGCCCCCGAATGGCACCTTATCTGTCTGCGTGGAGGGTAGTATGTGGCTGCTGTGTGCCTCTACTATCTTTTCAAAAGCCATTTTATAAAAATCCTATGTAGCCTATTTTAATATTTAAATATATATATTTGTGAGAGATACTTTTAGAACAGACTTTTACTTTAAAATTCCTGTATTCCCATTTTTAAAAGTAAATTTAAACCTTCCAGGATTAGGACATGTCTTTTTCCACAGCAACAAAATGAGAAAGTCAGATTGAGATAATACACCATAACTCAGTCATAGAAGAAATTGATGTCTGGTTAAAGGAGACAGATGTGAAGGAGAAAAAAATGTTTTGATGTAACAGAAGTGAATTTTTAAATAAAGTTGGTTTTGTTTCTGTAATATTTGCTGCTACCTTAGCTCAGTATGTTACAGAGCTAACATATAAATCTGGCTCCATTTAAAAACTGGAGTACTTTCTAGTACAACCAGCCTAAGAGGAAACTGCACCACAGTCTTCCGGATGGGTGACTGCTTTATTTAGCTGATGCATGCTTTAATATTTGCCTGTAGCCCAGCATCAAGGAGATGTGGGGAAACTTGCTAGTCACAGCATTGTGATTCTTCTGGGGCACTGGCATTTTGTGAAACCCTTGGGGGAGGCTAACACTGAGGAGGAAATGTAAATTAAATTATGTAGATGGGTGTTTCTATGTCTTCTACCCCTCTCCCAGAACCAGTACAGCTCTCCTGACTGTACCAGCCCCCAGTTCACCAGCTTTGTATCCAGTTGTCATCTCATTCAAGTATGGCTTTACTTGGTGACAGTGGCCATAGCTAAGTTACTTGGCATGTTTGACTTTCAACAATAACAAAAATGGTTTTGGATTTTGCTTTATTTCCTAAAAATGTACACAATGTCAGAACTTTACATTTTGTATACTAGTATCTGGCTATTAGTATTTTACAGGAACCATAGTTCTTGGTGACTACATATATATATTTTTGTGACTTTTTGTAAACTAAGTGCCGTTTGAACGTTACAATCATTTTTAGAGTTATTGTAATCGATGTGAATATTATGTTTTTTCAAATCTGTTCTGAGCCTATAGTGTTTGCTTTGTGCACATACGTGTATTGTATATATTCTGTATAGTTACATTGTACTGAAATATTAGCTTGTTTGATATAAGGAAAGTATGTATTGAGTACCTTTTTGCTAGCCTGGTTGTTTAATCTTTTTAAAAAAGGTTTAAACTTTTTAAAAAAAAAATCTTTAAACTGGCCTTTATTACATGGTCACAAATAAAGTTAAAGTTAGAAGGGATGGGCAGGGAAAAACTAGTTTTGAGTGTCTGAATAGAAACATAAGACTAAGCTATGGGTTTTTTCCTCATTAAAATATCTTTAATGCTTTATGGAGTAAAACTTCCTGCTGTTGTTATTTATTGTTGGCTGGAAGGAAGAATTGGTGGTGTTGGTTAAGGTCAAGTGGATAAGTAAAGTCGTCAGCATAATGCATTACCTAAGTAAACACTCACTGAGTGTGTGCAGACTAGAGTGTGACATGAGACAGTGCCTGTCAGCGTGCGGGGCACGCGAGGAAGAGCTGAAAGTGCGCAGGTTGCACAAACACCAGCCCTCAGACTAAAAAGGATGTGAAGGAGGCTAGAGGGTCATTAAATCCTGCTGCTGCTGAACCAGGTTCTCCTGCAAAACTCCATCCTGATTAAGTGGTGGGCGCTAAGAAACTGCTCTAAATCTTTCTGAAGTTACTCTTCATTAATTAAAGACCTGCGGGCGACCTTTCAATCGTGTCTTAACACATTGCGTACCGCTCACAGGTTTTCTCGTGTTTCACGTGCCATCTGTTAAGACTGCTCACGAGTTTTCTCCTTTTTCATGCGTCATCTGTTACGGACTTTAGATGTCAGCACACTGTCTTGTCCACATCGAATGAAGCGATCTCATTGGTGGAAACCATGCAGGTCAATCTACAAAAAACTATATAATTGTACGATCCCATAAAGCATTGCAGTTACATTATATTTTGATCATTCGACCCTGGCGTATGTCTTAGAGATTTCTATGCAGTACGCGATGTATTAACCAGCCAGGGAGTAGACAACAGGCACCTATGGGAGAACCAGCTCGCTGACCGGGCATTGACCCTGCGGGGGCTCGAGGAAGGGCTTTTTCACTTCACATTTACTTTGCCTATAGATGAGAACAACAGCCAAAGAAAATCATTTCATTGACCCCAAGCTACCAGGGTCACTTGAGAATGAAGTTCAGAAAGGAAGACGAGAAATTTTTAGCAGCACTCACTTTCGTTCAATGAGTGTGTGATTTTAATGCCAATCTACCAAACCATTCAAACTGTTGGGTTCCTCAGTAGCCTCACACACAGATGATAATATGTAAACGCAAAATGTAGAATTTAAAATAGGTACATCCTAGTTTGGCTTGCATGTGAATTACACACCAGAAAAAAGTCCTTTCAGAGAATAATGCCAATGGTAATAACCAAAGATGAGTATGCCCAGGACAGAGCTAAGAGTTAATAGTTCTTTTGAACAGGAATGTTCTAAGTACTAAACTGAGACAGTAAACAAAACCTATGAATATGCCAAGAATTTTAAGTGGGGAGAACTTGCTTATAAATACAAAATTCCCAAATTTAATGTAATTTTTTTAAAGATTTTATTTATTTTTAGAGAGGGGAAGGGAGGGGAAAAGAGGGAGAGAAACATCGATGTTCAAGAGAGAGGTCGACTGGTTGGCTCTTTCCTGTCAGCAGGCTGCCACTGAGTCCACTGAGCCTCTCTGGCCAGGGCTGCGATTCATTTCATGTATTGATGAAGTGTTACATAGATGGAAAAACAAAGGGCATTTCAATCAAAGAAATTTCTTACCAGCAAACTGATTTAAAACTACAATTTAAACAGCCTTGGAGACAAAGGGAAAGCTGTTTTTTTAGTATTAAACTTGATTGGTTTACTTGAACTTTCCTACAAAGAATATCCGAAGTTCCTATACCTACCCGTTTTATAGGTAAGCAACAAACCATTGCAGAAGCTCTGGGCAGGGTTGGCACGGGAGTCGTGGTGCAGGCTGTGGCCCAGGACCCCACCCCCTTCTCGATCCCGGTCTCATCTCCTCTCCACAGCTCACTGCCGGCTGCCTTTGGCTGAAGGTCATTGGGTGAATCCGTGAGTCTCATCAGAGAAGCTGGAAAGGTGGACAGGTTTAGCCACACAGGCAGTGCACACTCACCCAGGCCGCCCCCAGGGGAGGGCCAGCCTTGAAGGCATTGCCTCCCGTAATCCCTGCCGGCTGGAGGCTGTTGGGAAAGCTGCTTTCAGACAGAAGAAGAAATGACCAGAGCCAAAAGCGGGTCCTGCAGTGCATTCTAAGTTAGGGGCTGTGGCAGACAGGCTCCCTGGCTGTCCAGGCAGGAGCAGTGCATACGGCAGGACTACCCAAGAACAGGATTCCTTTTTTTAATATTTATGTTTATTGAATGTATTGGGGTAGCTGATGAATAAAATTTTATAGATTTCAGGGGTACAATTCTATAATATACACCATCTGTATGTATTGTGTTCACCACCCAAAGTCCATCCTCCTTCCATCACCTTTACTCTCCCTTTACCCTCTCCCACCTTCCCCACCTTCCCTCTGGTGATCACCACGCACAGTTATCCGTGTCTACGAGGTAGGGTTTTTTTGGTGTTTTTTTGTTTTTTGCTTAATCCATCTTTTTCACCCAGCCCCCCAACACCCATCCCCTCTGTCAACTGTCAGTCTGTCAAGAACAGAATTCTTGCCCTGGCCGATGTGTCGGTTGGAGTGTCACCCTGCAAACCGAAAAGTTGTGGGTTTGATTCCTTGTCAGGGCACATGCCTCGGTTGTAGGTTCAGTCCCTGGTCAGGGCACGTACAAGAGGCAACCAGTCGATGTGTCTCACATTAATGTTTCTTTCCCACTCTCTTCCCTCTAGTATCAATAAGCGTGTCCTTGGGTGGGTGAGAATTTAAAAAAAAAAAATTTCTGCCCTGGCTGATGTGGCTCAGTGGATTGTGCACTGGCCTGTGAACCAAGGGGTCGCAGGTTCGATTCCCGGTCAGGGTATGTGCCTGGGTGGTGGGCCAGGTCCGTGGTGGGGGACCTGTGGGAGGCAACCGCATATTGATATTTCTCTCCCTCTTTTTTCTCCCTCCCTCCCTCTCTGTCTAAATAAAATCTTTTTAAAAAATTTCTTAATTCCTTATTGAACGCATATGAGTCTACCTGCAAGATTCATAATTCTTCAGATTTTTTTATTTGTAAATATTTGTTTTGGGGGGTGAGGAGGGGAGAAACGTTGATGTGGGAGAAATGCATCAATCACCTGCCTTTCTCACGCCCCCAACTGCGGACCCTTTGGTTCGCAGACTAGCACTCAGTCCCATGAGCCACACTAGCCGGGGCCTTTTTCAGATGTTTTACAGTACACAAAATGCTACTAGCACTGCTAGTGATAAGGCCTTCAGAAACGCAGTGAGATAAGGAAAGTAATAAATGAATGGTCCACATAGTGTCCTTCCTATACCCATTGAAGAAAGGCCTTAGATGTCGCGTGGTCAGGCCACGTTATAACGGCCGGCACCCCCCCCCAAGTGGGCCTGGCGCTCCCACAGCCGCTGGGGGAGAAGCCAGGAGCCCCGATCCCGCCGGTTCTGGCAGCGCGATCCTCTGGGGGACTAGCATTTTGGGGGACACTTGAGAGAAGAGGGTGATAACCGGCAGGACACATTCACTAAATAAAGCAGATGAGTGTTTTTATCTTTTATGCCAGGATCTAGTTCTCTTAAAGGAGGGTAAGAGGTTACCTTTTTCTTAAGGAAGAAAAAAGGTATGTGACCCTGTCCTAAAGATGTGGGCTGGTCATGTGCTCTCACTTGGTTAGTATCTCCGCTTGGTTATCCCTCCCGCCCCTGTTGATAACATTTTTAATCGTTTTCTCCATCCCTACTGCAGTGAGCGCCATTGAAACCTTTGTTGTTTCGGGCCCAGTGGAAGCAGCCTCCTGACTGCTCTGCCCTCTCTCCAGGGGGCCCCCTCCAGGCTGCCCCCCACTTGCTACCAGAGTCTCTCCCGCGTGGGCTGCTGGCCTGCCCCGCCTCCGCCGGCCTCCCAGGGGGCCTCCGGGGGTGGGGGGGGCAGGGCGGGAGATCAGCCTCTGCGGGAGCCGGCCCCTCAGCCCTCCTTCCCGCGCACGTGGCTTGGGCGGACGGCCCCTCCTGTCTGTCCTCAGAGCAGACTTTGTTTAGCTCCAAACCGCTTCTCAGTCACTCTGTCTTGTAAATCCACCTCTTAGGGTAGTTGTGAGAATTCAGTGAATCCTACGGAAAACGCTTGGAGTGGCACCTAGTGTGTAGTCACTGCAAGTTTGTTGTGACGAGTGTGTCTCTGCCCGCCCCCCACCCCACTGAATTCTTGACCTCAGACTCTCTCTTATTTGTGTATCCCTGGCAGTGCCTGGCAGAGCCCGCAGAAAACGTGTCACCGAGCGGTGGTCATCAGCGCAGCGACCAGAATGCTCAGGGTCACGCGCCAGGGACCCTTAGGACACGGCACCTGGAGTGTTTCGGTTTTTTTATTTCCGTCATGTAACCTGATGATTTGCCTCAATTCTCACTTCCTATATATCTGAGTCTCACTCAGTTTTAAATGAAGGTCTGAAATACAAGGCTCTGCGGGGCATTGATTGAGAACTCAGTCCTCAGAACAGCTGCCATCAGCCTGGCCAGCTTGTCCCCAAATTGTTCCCTGGAACCCTGGTCCTGCCACTCTCTTCCCTTTGTGAGGCTCACCCTCCTCCGAGGCCAGACCCACGGATCGCTTCTCAGGAGGATTTCCCACGGCCTCCCCACGCTGGGCTGGGATTTCCTATCGGGGTCAAGCAACATCCTATACTTTTATCGCATTGGCATTGATCACTTAACATCAGTTGGACCAAGTGCCATGAGACGAAGTGCCATTAGGACGGACCGTACCAAGCTGTCCTCGGGCCTGGGCTTAGTCGAAGGAATAAAGCCTCTGACCTTGGGTGCTTACGGTTTCTGAAGTAAAATAAAGAATTAGAGAATGGACGCTAATACAGAAACCACCGGCTGCCATGAGAGAAACACGGCGAAGTGTGAGTTGCAGGAGGGGTAGCGACGGCGCCCCGGAAGGAGGAACACGCAGCCGGGCGCCTCGAGGAGGGGGCCGGGGCTGTGCGGGCGGAAGCGCGGGAAAGGGAGGCCGGCGCTCCCTGGGGGGCGCGCCGAGCACGGGAGGCGGAGTGTGCCCAGCAGGGAAGGAGCGTCCTTGGCGGCGCCCTGCCGGGTCCCTGGAGGGAACGCCGGAAACGTGGGCTGGAACCACATCAGAGGCGGCC